AGCAGTGGTATCAACGCAGAGTACTCGTCGCGTCCGGGCATTTTGCCGGTGCCGGCGCCATCGATCGAGGCGGCGCCATTGATGCCTGGGCGCGACGCGGTCGCGCGACCGCTGGTGCAAACGACTCTGCAATTTAGGAGCCCTGTATACCATTACAATCGTCTTGAAACGCTGATTTCGAATCTGTCTTCCGGTTCTGCTAATCGTTTTTACTGAGGAAGTTATGAGGATTTCCGCACCGAGTTTGGCCGCCCAAGAGAAGTACGCTCGGTACACCTACCGTTGGTATTCTGTGCTGTAGGGGTTGGTGCGGTAGGCTCACAAGTTGATGCAGGTTACGTTCGAATCCTTTTGTGTTTTCACTCTTGCATTGCCTCAGTTGAGCTTCCTTGAAAGTTAGTTTTCGAGGTGAATGCATGCCCTTATTGATAATTCAACGAGGCTCATTTTAACATGAGCGTTTCCTATATATGTATATTCCAAAAGCTGCTTATAAATGAAAAATTGAATACAATGTTAAACACAAAGATGGAATATGACGAAGTGACTGAAACATAGGAGTTGCTTGCAATGAGCGCATCAATGGATACATTTATCAAAGAATAATCATTTTCCCCAACTTTCCACATTTTTTAGAGGAAGGGCATTCATTTACCTGAGAATTCCTGACTTTCAACAGAATATTTCAGACAGTGAAAGACTGCCCGGACGAACGACGAACGAAGACAAAATGCCCGGACGCGACGCGGTCGCGCGACCGCTGGTGCAAACGACTCTGCAATTTGGGAGCCCTGTACATATTTCAAGGCCACAGACATCGAGTATCGTTTCCTTGTTAGATGTGACAAAAAAGCATCTCTCCTTGTGAGTAATGGCCGCCATAAAGTGGCATAGTTCCCACAAAGAAAAAAGTACAGCTCATATGAAAACGTCAACAATTTTGACATTTAAGATGCCACATCTAAGGTCAAAAACTGTAATGAACAATCTTGATAAAATGTGCTTTCTCACTGAGCTCGGTTCTCCTTGTGCACAGGTGATTTTAGTTTTGAAATCTTATACAGAAATTGTCCATGTGTGTGCCTGTCTGCTTGTTTGTCTGCCTGTTTGGACGGATAGTGTGCTTGCACAGAAGGTGAAATGCGGTGAAATTTGCGCGTGAACAAGTAGCCACGCCAGTACTGCCGATTTTGCGCCCGCAGTTGGCTGGCGTCACAGTCGAAACTATTTGTTTACGCGCAAATTTTACCGCATTTCACCTTCTGTGCAAGCACACTACATTAAGCGGGAAATCTACTCGACTGTAGAAATTGCTTTTCTGCACCGATCCAGACCAGACTTTGGGCACATACAGTTTGGGAAAATGTCATAGGCTACTTTTCTTTAGCCATCAATATCAATATCAGTTTTTTTGCAACTTTATGCTACGGGGCAAAGAGTTAGCATGTGAGAGTGAGTGAGTATGCTGATTGCAAAGATAGCAAGCTTTTGCAGAAATACCCATTACTGCCGGATATAGTCGTCTATATAAGATCTGCGTCGACAGTTACACACAGAATCTTTGCTTAGCTTGAGTGATTCGGAAGGATAACTCTCTTTACTTAAGCTTGAGGCATCCAACATTTATCACTCAGCCAAGATTTCAGTCAGAGCACCCAATTTGTAGACGGGGCTACTCAAGCAAGAACTTCTTTGCAAGCTTTTGACAAAAACTGGTTTTAGTAGGTTCAAGTTAAACTCTAAAACGATTATATCATTGCTGGAATCAGAATATCATAGGCAAGATCTTGTCTCCAAATTGAGGAAAGAATGCTTCATCTTTGCCAACAGCATGAATCGGAAGTGGAACTGTAATATCGATGGATTCACGCTCGATTACATAGAGATAGAATGCCAAAATTTATAACTGTTGCATTCAATGGTAATATGACTGTCTTAGCGTAGTTCTTTTCGAGAACTACAAAACGTTCCGACTTATTCTTCAAATACTTCTTCTACCGTATTGTTTTTTTCTGAGCAAGTTCACCGCTTACAACAATGTAATTTTAATCGATGATTCCTTCGATTAACTTCACAGCTCCAACGCACCGTGTACTTTTATCTTTAAAAGCAGATCCCCAAACGGAGTTGATAACCAGGAATGTGTGACTGTTCTTTGTAGCTGTACCTCAGCAGACATTCGCTTGCAATCGCCTTTGTGAAAGACAAGAAATTGATAGAAGTGATTGCTAGGCGTTTATCTAAAGCTGATTTTCATACTTATCATGTTAAACAGCGGAAACTGATGCTGCAAGACCACTACATAACTACAGGGTGTTTCAAAAGTAGGTATACTCTGTTTGGTCGCTGATATCTCCCTTCAAAGGGAATCTGTATATGTCATTGGGTTTATGAGAACAATGCTCGTAATTTAGTGCTTGCAACAAATTCTGACCAATTATTTTCATCAATTATAATACCTTCAGGGCAATAGACTGAAACAGCTAATTTTTTTCGAAAGGATTAGTACATTGTTCTTCTATACGATCTTCTTCAAAAGTTCGTTTACAGAATCAACTAATACAGGGTATCTTCTGACAAACTGGTTTTTGTAGGTTTTACAAGTTTAACTTGAAAACGATTATATCATTGTTGCAATCAGGAAAATTATAGGAAAGATCTTGTCTCCAGATTGGGGAAAGCCCCATCTTTGCCAACAGCATGAATCGGAATTGGAATTGGAGTACCGATGGACTTATGCTTGACTACATAGAGATAGAATGCCAAAATTCATAGCTTTTGCATTTAAGGTTGCTTATATGACTGTCTCAGCGTACATCTTATCACTACAAAACGTTTCGACTTATTCTTCGAATGCTTTTTTCTGTATTGTCTGTTTCTGAGCAAGTTCACTGCTTACAACAACGTAATTCTAATCAATGATTCCTTCGACTAACTTCAAAGCTTTAACGCACAGTGTACTTTTATCTTTAGAAGCAAATGCCAAAACGTAGTTGATAAGGAATGTGTGACTATTATTTGTAGTTGTACCTCAGAAGACAGCCGCTTGCAACCGCTTTTGTGAAAGACAAGAAATTGATAAAAGTAGATAATTGATAGAACAAAATGAGCTCGACATCAAACTTCCAATTTACACAGCAAACGATTCAATCTGGACAAAAAGAAAGGTTCTTCAGAAGGTTGCGAGTATCTACGACCCATTTGGATGGATCTCACCAGCCACCTTGATAGGAAAAATCTTCTTGCAGAAACTTTGGATGAACAGTCTCTCCTGGGACCAAACTTTACCCGACCACCTCAATGAGGAATGGATAACAATCATCAGCTCTTGGAAAGTTCCCATTGTCAAACGTCCACGTCACTTACTCTCTGAAAAAACTGCAACTAAAAGGCGGGCGTTTATCTAATCGTAAGCTGATTTTCATACTTATCGTGTTAAACAGCGGAAACTGATGCTGCAAGACCACTACATAACTACAGGGTGTCTCAAAAGTATGATACACCGTTTGATCGTTAATATCTCTCTTCCCAACAACTCTTTTGTCTTGCTTCAGGTATCGTTTGTAGAGTTGGCTTCAACTTAGATTTACAATATAGAACGAATCATCCATCTCTCTTTATTACTGTGGGATTACGGTAGAAACTTCAAAGAGGATTTTGGGCCATGAAAAGCCATATTTTGCCTCAGAAAGAAAACAAAACAGCGTGAAAGTCTCTACACTAGGCTTAGACTTGTTTGATTCTGACTGTAAAGTTCCCTACTTATTATGATCTTTCGTTGAAGAGTTATGCCGGGTAAGAGGTAGCGGCCATTTTTCAATGTTCCTAAAAAGTGCAGTTACACCGTTTAGAAAGCTTCGCAATCCTGTGAATAATTGAGTATTGAACTCAGCGTCCATAAAAACCTTATTACACAAGTTTTCATATTTTTGAGAAATTTTGAGACGGCAGCTTTTTCCACATTGACACCATAAGTCTCAAGTTTCTACCGTAATCCTACAGTAATGAAGAGCGATCGGTGATTCGCTCCATACTGTAAATCTAAGTTGAAGCCAGCTCTACAAACGGTACCTGAAGCAAGGCAAAAAACTTGTTGGGAAGAAAGATATTAACGATCAAACAGTGTATACATACATACTTTACGGATACCCTGTATTAGTTGATTCTGTAAACGAACTTTTGAAGAAGATCGTATAGAAGAACAATGTACTAATCCTTTCGAAAAAAATTAGCTGTTTCAGTCTATTGCCCTGAAGGTATTATAATTGATGAAAATAATTGGTCAGAATTTGTTGCAAGCACTAAATTACGAGCATTGTTCTGATAAACCCAATGACATATACACATGACTTCAAAGGCAGCGTCCAGGCAGATTCTCGACTTTTATATTTTTATGTTATCCAGGCCTTTCCATGGCGCTGACTCCGAATATGGAACTCAAAAAGCGTGAATTTTTCAGAAAACCACCTTTTGGGGCTATTTTGGGAAAACCCGGACGAGTGCTTCTGATGTTATCCTTGTCGAAAGCGAGTATTAACAGGGAAACGCTGTAAGTTCGACTGTATTGGTCATGTGAAAACACGTCACGAGATTTCGTTCATAAGGGGTTGGCCGTCCGAGGGAAGTGGGCGTGGTCGTCGAGCTCGGATCTGCCTGGACGCTGCCTTTAAAGGCAATGTCCAGGCAAAAACTCGATTTTGAGATTTTGTGCTTATCCGGGCCTATTCGCTACGCTGAATCCGAAAATCCACATTGGAAAGCGCGAAAACGGCAAAAAAAGGGCTTTAACGCAAGAGTGAAGTCGGAAGTGGGCGGGGTCCTCCCCATTGTGAATTTCGCAGTCCCAGCCTCTGGAGCGATCTTCCCAATTCCTCTAGCGCCCTGAGATCTCCATCGGTTAGGTGTAAACGCATGACTTGAAATCGGAACCGAGAAGATCGCTCTGGAAGCTGGAAGCGTGAATTCACAGTGGAGGATCCCGCCCAATTTCCCTCCCGTGTTAGAGCCCTTTTTTGCCATTTTCGCGCTCTCCCATGTGGATTTTCGGATTCAGCATATTGAATAGGCCCGGGTAAGCACAAAATCTCAAAATCGACTTTTTACCCGGACACTGCCTTTAAGCCTACCTTCATTCCCAATTACACCTCTAACAAAAGATTCGGATTGCAATGAGCATTGCAATAAGCAGAATTTTGCTATTTCCGACCCTTCTAATCGTCTTCACCTAGAAGCAATGTAGAATCAAGTTTCCTTAAATACGATAAATATAATCACTATAACGATAATACATTCGCTGCCAACTTCGTGATCAATTCTGTAATGTTCTCTGATCTGCTCGCGGAAAAATCGCATAAAATCAGCAAGCCTCTTTGGCACATGGCGGATAACTTTATTTATTTGCGCAAGGGTAAGGGTATCACGACAATTCGGCATTCTTAATGGATAGTGCGAAATTCACTGGAGGCAATGTATTGGTGCCAGGACCGCCTTAGATTTCGAGTAAGCTCTCGTGCGAGCTTTCTGCAAAAAGGTACAAAGTAGTTCCTGCTTATTTCACTCCTCCTTGAACCCAGTCTAGGCTCATCGCGGCGAAGAACTCCAAAGCTTTATAAAAAAGGCGAGGTGAAAGGTGAAAACTTTATTTACTTTTTTCTGGCCTAGTCATTGAGCGCGTCGTTAGCGGGTGATGCTTGGTCGATATCGTGGCTACCAACTTTCACAATCGTATTCCAATTTTTTTCACAGCGGTCTCATTGTGCTATAAAAATTGGGGTTATTCTGAGTGAGAAGATATTACATTTGCGGATTTTGCATGCACTAACATCTAGAAAAGTTGTCCCTGATTTTTTTTTGTTAAACGAAAAGCAAACTAGGTTACAGGGGTCAAATCGAATTTAAGTGAGCGCGCTTTTTGAGTTCAACTGATAGGGGAGCCCTAACTAACCTTCGCGCAAGTAGAAGCTTATATGTCAGTGCAAAGAATTTGTCTCCTAATCTTCGCCCAGACATTACTTCGACGAGTATAACGATCAGATCTCTAGTACGGCACCTCACAAAATCTGCTGAAAGAAAACGGCTTATGCAAGAGCCTAGCGTCTGCTTTTCTGGTCATGTATGAACTTTGTTTACTGCTCGGGCCGACTACTGAGAAAGCGACCGGGCATAGAACGGGATATGGGATTTTACCAAAACATCCAATCAATGCTCAGAGAACATCACAATGGCGGAGGTAAAAGCTACTCTAGATTGGTGCCGAATATGAGAGCAGCTGAGTTTCTGACAACTTTCTGCATGCAAGTGAGGGCAGCATGCTCAGGGATTCGCGCCACGCGAGCGGTCCTATTATAGAGGCTAGCGTACAAGCGGTCGACATAAGCCCAAAGCTTCCGTGCGTGCGGCAAACAGCTGAAGTGCCGTCCTAGCGGCAGGCAATGATACCGTGCAAACGGCATTTAATACAAGTGCTCGAGCGAGCGGCCAGCAATGCGTCCGTCTTATCGGTCGGCAATACCTGCTGCCGTGCAAGCGGCCGACAGTGACCTCTATCTTCTGCTCACTATTTTCGCACATTGTGAGCTCAAACGGTACCTGCGGGAGATACGACGCAGCGTTTAGGCTGGCAAAGCGTTGACATATTTTGTTACCAACATTTTCCTTCCCCAGCAAGGCTGGAATGAACCTGTGTGAAGCCATAGTTATCAAGTGATGGTGTGGGCCTCACCATGGAAAGTGTGACCACATGTTGTCAGAATGTAAAAAGGACTAACATATCCAAGAAAAATAGTTAGGATACCCCATATAGATCTACTCCAACAGCAAGCGAGCGGTCGACCTTCCCCGCGCAAGCGGCGAGCGTTACGAACCGTGCGGGCGCCCCACGTTCCGTGCCAACGGCCCTTGACGACCGTACAATCGCACACACCAACAAGCGATTGTAGGGTCATCGCTGGCCGCCCGCACGGCGCGAGTTCCTGAGTGCGTAGCGTTTTTCCGCTGGGAAGCGCAGCTCAAAAGAAGGCTATGTATCTATGATGCAGCGTTTTGGATTTCATGCGGTCCAACTATCCGCAAAATTTTCTACTTTCCCTATAAAATAGTTAACAGGATCAAGAAGTTCGCGAAGCGCTTATTCCACTTTTTTGTGTACCTCCGCTGATTTTCGGCGGCAAACCGCCTTTTTTTTTGAAGTCAAGTTTTTTGTTTGAAGTCAATGAAAACATTTAAGGTTGCATTGATTATCTGACCCAACAATGACAATCATGCTACTGGTAAGAACTGGTGTATTGAAGCTACAAAACTTGCAAGGATGAGAAGTCAGAAATTGGAGTTTATCGAAAAACTCAATATTTCAATAACTACCCTATTTTCAGGTGTATAAGCCGCACCCTTTTTGCTCTAAACGCGAGCAGACCCAGGCGTGCCGCCGCGCATATGTCTCGCGAAGCGGTCATCTTATCGCATACTGCTCTCACCTAACGCGCTCCATGATGACAGTCAGTCCTTTGGCGTGTTCGCCTTTAGAGCGAAAAGGGTATACACCTGAAAATAGGGTAAATCAAAAACAGATTCTTTTCAGAAACATGCTTACAATTAGCGCTTTTGGTTCGAATAATCAGAACAAAATTGTACTATTTTTTTTTGATTCGGGTACACTGTTTGCCCCTGAACATCATCAAGGTATCACACAAAAGGTTCTCGCTCCTGCACAATATGCTCATACTAAAGGGTGATAGAAACACTTACGGATAATAAGACCGCGTGGAACCTAGAACACTGGAGACTCAGAAAATGAAGCTTTCTTCCAAATGTTTTCGTCCCAGCGAGGATGTGAATGCATGCGGTTTTAACATGGATATTAAGAGCACGCGAGATCCTGCTAGGTCCTCTCGTGCACAGGGAGATTGATGATCTCCTCCTTTTCAGTGCGGAACGCTTTACCCTCCATAATACCAAAAGATGGGCAAATTCCATCTCTGAAGTATTCCATACTCTTCCATATCCTCTTTGTAGATTTTTTTTTACTTTCTTCTAAACTCTCCAACTATGCTTACTTTCACAACTTCACGTTTTTCGCGCTAAATTATGTCTGAGTCTGATGTCTGTAAAGTCTTCTACAAAGTATGTCGATAATGAGTCTTATATCTCAAAGCTTTTTTCAACCAGTGCAGCGAATCTGCTCTGATAGACGCGCAATTGTCTATGTACCTCAAATTATCGTACAAAAAGCGTCACACAAAGTTTTCACATCCAAAGAAAGCGTGGCAACTACCTTTTACTCTTCTTTTTTTAACTTACGATTGACAATAGAATGACCTGAACCTACTTTGGTCAATCCAGATAAACTGTTTATCATCGCATTTGCCTTAAAACGCTGATCCCAAGTATCGGTTTGTTATCGGCTAAGCGACTATTTGGAAGAGTTAGGAGCACGTCAAAACGGGTTGCACAGTACCACCAGTGCACCATTGGTGAAGCGGCGCTGAGGTTGGTTCGTCTTCCTCTTTATGCGAATTTTGCTTGTGAAATCGGAGGAGGGAACGCAACTAGCCGGAGGGTGATAAGGCATTTGGTGGGATAAACATAAGATCTAAATCTCGCGCCACTCTAGGCTTCTGAAGACGACGATAAGTCGAAACGTAAGGCCTCACTAGTAAAAGACTTCACCAAACCTCGTATTGGCATAACAACATCAACTCTGATCATACGACATGCCGAGGTTTCAAGAAAAGAGGACAACCAAACTAGAGTTATAGGAGCGTTTAAATGCGAAAACTTGTTCACGTTCCAACCGAGTAAGGTTTGCTGAAAGGTAGCCTGAGAAACCGTAGCTTCCACCAAACTCGAGTTAAGTGCCATCTTGGCATGAAAGCCATCTCCATTGAGAACAAAAATGATAGCTTTCATCGCGAATTCTAAATTATGATTTAATATCGATTTAAATTTAGGAGCTTTCTGCTGAAAAGTTTATCTCAAATCTTGACCTGTCTGGAAATCTGAATCTGTCAGAAAACTGCGCCAAAGATTTGGAAATTCTATCTAATGGCACAAAAACCTTCTTCGATAATGTAATCAGCACACGGCAGTTTGGAAAAAGAGATATTGACACAAAGTTAATCATTCCCGGTAAGCTTTCAAATCTTAGTAGCTCAAAAGAACCAGACACAAAGCCGATACTAGCAGATACCAATAAAAATCGACCGCTGCCTTATGCAAAAATTATGTATCGAATCATTCGTAACTACCTATACCACGCGCGCTACCTCACCGTTGAAAAAACCTAATAAATCTTTTGAATTTGTTATAAGAAGTGGTACATAATTCCACAGTTATTCCGCTAGAAAAGGTCTGCTGACGAATTACCAATTAGAGGTCGTGGTTGCCGCGAGCAATGTGCCGATTCATATGCGGGCCCGTAGTAAACCCCGAAGATGTGTGGAGGGTTCGATCAATTGAGCCCTGCGCATTTTTTGCAGAGAAAACGGAAATTTTCTGACAAATCTTTGATTGCAGCAGTGCTCCGCAAAAGACTATCGTACGTTGAATTTGGGAACAAAGTGGCGAATCCAGTTCACATGGAGTCGTAGAAACCAGTAAAAATAATAGTTTCTATCTATGCTTCTTCAAGATGTTTGGAAAAATCTGGAGAGTCACTCAAAACTGCATCTAACAAATCAAGATCTCTAGTTTGTCAGTTCAACTGTTAATCATATACATCGTTTTGACTGCTTGCGTTTGGGCTTTTGAAGTAGAATTGCAACTCTGTTCTTTAAAAAACGAGAGCCTCAACCTTTTTTTCATCAACAAAGTGGTCAAACTTCCGCCGTTTGTTTTGCCGACTGTCTCAGTGACACGTCTTTTGCCTAAGCGGTTCAGGATTGTACAACCGCCGAAAGTTGAATTGGGTTTGCGTAGGTATTCTCTGGACATTTCGACTTCCGCCAGCCCTCAAAAGCCTTTCCTTCAACAGCCGTTGTTCACATGTAGACACATAATTCACTAAAGACCTCTCTGTCGGTCAAGAGCAACCATCAACGCCTACATATTTGCTGCTGCGAGTAATATTACATTTTTGCAGATGTATCTGAATCTGCACATAAGAGAAGTCCTAAATTTAGCACAAATTTTGATATAGTAACCTACTTTCACACTTCGGAGAAGGTAGCTCGTTAGAGTGCTGCAAAAATCGAAAGTATCAAACTGAATGGGGTTTTATACGGCGGGAAAAACCTTTTTTTTTGCAAACACAAAATTCAGGATTTCCGGAATTTTTTCGATAGGATAGATAAGTCTGTAATCTTACTATTACTGCTTACCATTGGGATTTTGCTTTTGGGATAAGAAAGTGTGTTAGGATAGTAGATTTTTATTATACCTATGCGAGTGCTGGCGAAAGTGTTTACACGTTAATATGTTCCAACATCGAAATGCTATAAAAAAGTTAGAGTGAAGAAAATGCCCCATGTCAAAGTGTTTTCAGTCATAGACGCATGTGGAAAACTCAGCCCTGGAATACTTCGAGGGCGTTCTAGATTTATTGGGTCGTTTGAGGAGTGTATGGCCATAGATTACTATGATGCGCAGGCACTTCGAAGAATCAGGGGAGGATATTTCAGGTAGAGTTATACACCAACTTTCAATCTACGGGCACTCCCAGTGAGCCTGGCTTTTAAGCAAATAGTCTGAGCAGTGTATTTTCGATTTTTGTGTTTTCATTTCATGCCAAATTTTTCAGAGTATTGCTTCAAATACCTATTGCAAATAGCACGACGAATTTCATGTGGGATGTATGTTTGCCTGCATCTTGTACAGGGAAAGAGTTGCACACAGCACTTGCAGATGGTAAATTCTACTCGTTTTGTAGAGAGTAAAATAGCTTTAACATCGATTTTATGAACTGAGGTGGAAGCAACTCAACTTAGGCTTTCCGTGGGATTAAAATATACATTCAGACAGAGCAGAGAGACTCACAGTCAGACAGACAAAACTCATTCAGCTCCATGTGCTATTTATCGTACTCGCATCGCTCAGTCCCCGTTGTTATACAAACATATCACCACTCCACTTATCGTTAGATACATCACTACCATCCTTGTCCACTTCCACAAACTTATTTTATTTTTCCCCTATCCCACTTCTACACACTACTACTAGGTTAGTCCATAATTCGTGCACCAAATCAATTCATTCCGCAATGCATATTCTTTTACATTCTACATAGGCTTCGGCACAATAATCAAGAGCAAAGCAAGTGCAAGATTGCTCGCAAATATCAGCAGCAAACAATGTATGTGAAGTTTCAAGCCAGAAATCAAAAGGTTCCAAACGCCCAAAAATCGAGAGTTTCTAGCTATGTCCAAAACCTTTTACGGATTTCCTTCTCACTCAAGCAAATACAAGCAAATACATCTCATGTAAGACATTGCTGTATTTTTTTCTCAGCCAATTATTGGGAATCAAAATTCTCGTGCAATTGTGAAAGCATTGCTAAGCTGTTGCTACAATAGCAACAGTAAACTGCAAGCCTTCAGCAGTAGAACCGTGAATTGGTTTCACCTGCTGCGGCTTGATGCAAATTTCAGTATTTCTCTGAAGCTAGCTCTTGTGAAGTGCTGAAGATTTACGGTTGTACTAGTAGAGTTGTAGTATGCAGCAACCTTTGAGGGAACAGCGCAGCACTGCCTTGACAAATGCAGAAAAACTGTCGATTTCTCGATTTATAGTCTAGGAAAAAATGAGCAATTATAAATATGAGCTATGTCGATTGTATATGCTTGTGGGCGTATAACTTTGTACCCATTTTCCCTCGATTTTTCGATTTGGGTCCAATTTGAATTTTTTCGATTTCAATTCGATTCTTGCCCCCGCTGTTTTGTATAGCAGGCGCGAACACGCATCCCCAATCCTCTGTTTCATCTTTCAGGCTCAACCACCTTCCACAACGTGATTTTCGTAACATGCTCACTAATCACGTGCGGCTGCGATGCCCCAGCATAACTCGCGAAAGAATGATAAAAGCGAGCAGACGACATTCTATCATATATGCTCACTTTGCCCCCTCAGGCAGCTTTCAGCCATATAACTAAAAACTCGCTAAAAAGTCTTTATTGATGTAATCCACAAAAAATTACTTACAACACAATCTCGACCTTTATGGGTGCGCAGCAAGTGCCGACTGCTGACGCAGCCAGCCGCCAGGGCTGGGTCAGCGCAGACGCATATGGTAGGATAATTATATCGATTGTATTTCATTTTATCAATAAACTAAGAATTTTTTGCTGATCAAAATGATATAGATATTGATAATATTGCGCTATCCCTGAGGCTGATATCGCACCTCAGCGCGACGAGGTGCGAAAATCTCTCGGCGGAGACTTTCAGACGGCTAGCGTAATTATCCTACCATATGCGGCTGCGCTGACGCCAGCCCTGGCGGCTGGCTGCGTCAGCAGTCGGCTGCCTGGGTACCACTTGCACGCCTCCCGAACTTCATGTGCACTAAGCTTTGTTTTGACATCCCCAAACGGACATTGAATTTTCATATAAGATACGAAATTAGAAGCTAAAACTTGAATAAAAATTTGCTCTAATTAACCATTGTTTTCCAGCCAAATCCTTAGAATTCCTATGGGCAAACCAATAACGTATGAGGAGGGAAGGTAAGAAAAGAGAAGAACGTAGACGCTTCTTTCCCTTGATGAGCCACTGACTTTCGCGCATGGCGTCATGAAATATGAGAATGTGCAGTTGGCATATTTGTGAATAGTTACGAAAATTTGAGAGAATTTCAGAATTCAAATGTTGCGAAAAAATACTGTGTTTAAAGAATTCAAGTGCCAAAACCTTTTATGAAACACCGTCATCATTTCCTCGACAGCGCTCTTTCACTGCTGTTATACAGGGTGTCCCAAAAAAATGTATCGAACGTTTGATCGTTAATATCTCTCTTTTCAAGAAGTCTTTTGCCTTGCTTCAGGTACCGTTTTGTAGAGCTGGCTTCAACTTAGATTTACAGTATGGAGCGAATCACCGATCGCTCTTCATTACTGTAGGATTACGGTAGAAACTTGAGACTTATGGTGTCAATGTGGAGAAAGCTGCCGTCTCAAAATTTCTCAAAAATATGAAAACTTGTGTAATAAGGTTTTTATGGACGCTGAGTTTAATACTCAACTATTCACAACATTACGAAGCTTTTTAAACGGCGTAACCGCACTTTTTAGGAACACTGAAAAAATGGCCGCTACCTCTTACCTGGCATAACTCTTCAATGAAGCATTATAATAAATTGGGAACTTTACAGTTATAATCAGCAACTCTAATTAGCCTAGTGTAAAAGTTTTTAGGCTATTTATTTTCCTTTCTGGGGCAAAATATGGCCTTTCATTGCTTAAAACCCTCTTTGAAGTTTCTACCGTAATCCTACAGTAATGAAGAGAGATGAGTGATTCGTTCTTTGCTGCAAATCTAAGTTGAAGCCAGCTCTACAAAATGGTACATGAAGCAAGGCAAAAGACTTCTTGGGAAGAGAGATATTAACGATCGAACGTTCGATACATTTTTTTGGGACACCCTGTATATTAGGTCGGTGCAAAAGTTTTGTCAGTTTTTTCAACTCATTGGCAAACACGCTAGAATGAAGATAAGCAAACATTTCGAAATTTATTTAATGCAGAATTTCTTCCTCTTTCCAGCTGCTAAACTCCCATTGCGTTTCGCTGCGAGAGTGATGACATATTTGCTGGAAGTTACAACCACTCTTTTTAACATGTTCAACTTTCGCCAGTTTTCAAAATTTTTGTATGAGACTTTCGGAGGACCATTAATAACCAACGTATAGGGCAAACCTTTTGCCAACAGAAGCAATTTTTTGTAGCCCTATGGCTTGTTTTTCAGAATTTCTACGATTTATTTTTTGCAGTAACCAAATTTTACATTCAGCCTATTTTAACCTCGTGGAACATAAAATGTTAAACACTTCAGTCACCATTCGATGCAACTTTTTCTCCTCCTTCTAACACTTGTCTTTTTTGCCGAGACAGGCGAAATTTTTGGGGAAAATTGCAGCATTTCTCAATACCAGGAGTGTGCACTGACGTAACCTGTGTTTCAAAATCTTTATATTTTGAAGCGAAAATCACTCACTTACTTTGTAATGGTAGCGGTAGTAATAATCGAGTGTTGAAACCTTGGTATTCTGTAGAATTTGCAGTGTTTGGTGCAATAACAGGTTATACGATTTCTCCAAAATACAATACTTTTAGAAAATTATTTAGCAAAAATCTGTAAAAGTAGCTGAAAAAAGGAAAAAATTGCACAAGTTGGCAAAAAGTTTGCCCTATCTAGTGGTTATTGAGGCTCTTCCGAAAACCTCATACAAAAATTTCGAAAATTAGAGCTTGGACATGGTAAAAACGAATGCTTGCAATCTCCAGCGAATATCTCATCACTCTCTCATCGGAACACAGTGGGAGTTTAGCTCTGGAAAGAGGAAGAAATTCTGCATTGGATCATTTCGATGTGTTTGTTTATTTTCATTCCAGCGTATTTGCCGATGGGTTAAAAAAACTGACAATACTTTTGCACCGACCTAATACATCGGATTCGATGTCACATCATTGACCGTCATGTTGAGCAATTCTTTATCGGGTGCACAAAAAATTCTTGCGCTGTGCGAGATCGTGTTAAAGTATACCAGTAAATGTTGGGTGTGTCTTAACTTATTTTTTTTTTTTGCTAAGCAGGGCTTATAAGCAGGCGTATAGGTGTATAAGTGTGGACGAGTATATACAGTATATCCTCTAGATTCACTCATTAAAACGATATTCAGTTGTCAGCGATGAACTAGGAGTTTATTTCAAAGCAAGAAACTAGCAAAAATGAGGCATTGATGATTTCACTAAACTGGTTGTTGAGGAAGGGTTCGGCATTGAGCTTTGCGTTTGAGAAAGTCAACGATTGCCTTTCATACTACCCTAAAATCCGGCATATAAGATCGCCTCGCAGTAAAGACCGCCTCGCCGATAAGACCGCAAAAGAGCTCTCAGTTAAGTCCGCTTTCGTGACAGCCTCGCGCGCCTCGCGCGCCGCCAAGTCCCGCGGATAAGTCCGCCTTATTTTTTTTACATGAAAACAAGAAGGATGCGCAATTGCGCTGCCTTTTTTGGTCTCAGAATGAACCGAAGCAACAGATCTTTATTCAGGTAGCATTCCATGTTCATCATAACAAACATTCATGGCAACAACTTAACCAAAAGAACGACCATCATTATCGTTATTATCAGCAACAATCAAAGCGTCGAAATCCTCGTTCATGCCTTCTATTATTGATTCGTCATCGAGAGCCTTGGTGAAACTGTTCGCAATGGTTTCTTCAGTGATTGCATTGAAACTCTCGTAGACTAGTGCAGCTACCTCTCCGTAGGTCATCCTTTTCCTGGCGCCGCCTGTTGTGTACCTTGCTCGTGCTGAATCGGCCATCCATCGCTCCCATCCCGCCCTCAGATTGTCTTTGAAGGGCTTGTTGATGCCGACGTCAAGAGGCTGTAGATATTTGGTCATTCCGCCTGGAATGACCGCGATCTTTGAGTGCTCCTTGAAAAGCTGTCGGACGTCTTCTGTGAGATGGCACCTTAAAAAAGCAAGATAAGCTCAAGAAATGATAAAATACGAAACGATACCTTGCAGAATCTAATATGAGTAATGACTGCGAGGGATCGTTGACATAGCATTTCCGTTTGTTCCACACCTCATGGAGCCATGTCCTCATCAGTTCGTGATTCATCCAGCCTTTATCATTGGCTCTAACTACCACTTCAGGAGGGAAATTATCCTTGGGAATCCTCTTTTTCTTGAATATGATCATCGGTCTTAATTTCTCTCCGCGGCCGTCACAGAGAGGACAACGGTAAAATTCGATTTTTCGTGTCCTGTTGAGTCAATCCTTACAGTATCGGCTCCCACTTGATCCACGGTCCTTGAATAAACCATATCGAAGAGCACTGGGACTTCATCGACATTCCCAAGATTGTGGGGGGAGATGTGAAGCGATTCCCTTTGTACGAATCTCCTGAAGTCCGCGCAGATGTTTTCATAATCCTCCGGAAGCGCTTGGCCGACACTGGTTCTTCGCCTCAGAGATAAGTTCTTTCTCTTCATAAAGCCTTTGCACCACATCGCCGATGCCCTGAAGTCCTGGTGGCCAGATTCCCGCGCTAGCTGCAATGCCTTCTCGCGAATGTCTTTGACAAGCACTGTTCGGCTTCCTTCTCACGTCTGCACAATCCATGCATAAGAGCTTCCTCTATTTCCTCCACCTTTGGCTTCCCATGACGGTTGGCGCGTCTCCTCAGTGACATATCCTCCAGATTTTCTTTATCGGCCTTCCATCTTCTAACCAGACCATCAGAGACTTCGTAGCGAACAGCGGCAGCCGATGTTCCATGTTGCAGGGCATATTCCACCACGTTAAGCTTAAAAAGCGCGGTGTAGGACTTCCTTCTGGGAGCCATTGAGATCCGAGATACCTGAACAGCTTGAGTCACAGCGTGTGAGAGTATGTTGGAAATATAGGGCTCTGCGTGATTGCGAACTTCGCTGAGTTAGCGGTCATTGCTTACTGGAATCACGCGGAGTCCTATAAATTTGTGCTGATCATCGAAAGGTTTACTCTTTTACAAGAAAAAGCAGGCGGCGTCAAATTTGACTACACTGTCTTTTGTCTTGGATGTACAGGCTTAATGAAACAACAGATGAGAAAAAGAACAAGGAAGCCTAATGCTTTGCTAAGGTTGAGCATTCTCAGGCTGTCACTCTTCCGTTCAAGAAAGCATTTGACAAAAGCCGTATGGCATGGGTCAACAGAGACTACGTTCAGAACATGAAAACAATAGAGGAAGCAAAAAGTATAGGAGTCAGGTTCAAGGGTTGTAGCCTGTACGGGTTCGAGAGATGTATTAAAAACATTGTAGCTTCCAAAACGATAAGATGAATGATAAGATGAGATGATTGCAATGATATAATGAGAAAACCTATTATGATTTTTCTGACAGAAAAATTCCATGTGTACAAGCACTGTCTTATATAGGAAAAGAACCCACCAGCGTATGTGATGACCAATCCGCGACGAAACTGTCATCAATTAGACTGCACCTTGTCGAATCCTTTGGCGTTCTCTTTTAGGGGAGTTCACGGCTTGATTCCAATCGCTGAAACATGTGATATCCAGAACAACTTCTCTGTAGCGTTTTGCAAAACTACGAACCGTTTGTGTCTTTGTACTTCGTCACTTACTGCTTGGAACAGAGTATGCGCGACGATCAGCGTTCTAAAAAAGCTTTGTAGGAGATGCATGTACTGTAGTTAGCCTATATCATAAACCTCCCCTGGTTAATATTCCTGAAAATGGGGTAAAATCCTACCTTACTATCGCGTCATCAATTCCAACACACAAGAAATGTTATATCTAAGAAAAGAACTCACCTATCCAGCGTATATGATGACAAATCCTCGGCGAAACTGTCAGCAACTAGTCTGCACGGCTTGTCGAATACTTTGGCTCTTCCTTTCAGGCGATTTCGCGGCCTTGTTTAAATCTACACCGGCAAGCTACGCGGGCGGTCGCGCGCGTTTGTGCTCCTAGGTCGCGCTTGCTCGTGCTCAGGACAGACGGACGTATCTGCGAGAGGATTTAGGCGGACTTATCTGTGAGACCTTTTGCGACGTTTTTCCATCGATTTTCCTGCCAAAACTGCAGATAAGTCCGTTCTTATATGCCGGATTTTAGGGTAAAATCAAGACAGTTTTCTTCAAAGGATCTCCATCCTCAAAGTGATGGGTGCAGTCACCAGTGCCAAATTTACCTTCTGAGAAATTTTCTTACTCTGAAATTATAATTCGCATCAAACACATAGGGGAAAGATACCAGTGCCAAATTTACCTTCTGAGAAATTTTCTTACTCTGAAATTATAATTCGCACCAAACACATAGGGGAAAGATACCAAGTTGCAACGACAAGTTGAGAAGTGACCTATAAAGCGGGTTTCTAAACGCTGATTTTGAATTTGCCCTCCTTTTCGGCGAAACAACATGTGAAAGAAATTATGTGGCTTGAGACTCCAAAGTGGTCAAGCCTCAAGTAGCAAAGATCAAAGTGCTGTACAAAAACACTTGTGCGGATTGTTAGTAGCTTTTCCTTTTCCTTGTAACCGAGATTAATCAATACAGAATCTATTACTACTTTGAGCCTTTTATTCTATCCCGATGGATTTACAAAAAAACATTATTTGGAAACTGCATGTGATACATGAGTCATTCCAGGATCTTTACCCTTGGTTGGCAAGTATATAGCGGAAGTAATTGACGGCTTCGAGAAGATACCTAAATACGTTACAGCGTCATACATTGTTGGGTAAATGCATAGAAACCATGAATTCTTGAGTGAAAGTTTTTCTAAACAGGGTAATTTTACTTCTGACGATTGCGATCTGCATAGTGGCAGGAATCGTTGACTATTATAATACCAATGTGAAAAAACAACAACCCAAAGGTAAAATTCTTTTGAATTTTTTTCAGACACCCGAGGTATTGCGAGTTACAGGCTTAGGCTACACTATACTAATGAACTTTTCACTTTACAAGAACTGTAAATATGTCATTGCTCTAACCCCTGCGAAGGTGGGTTGGAAACCTTGATATTAAGTTGAGGTAATAAATTTTGTCGCATTTTTTTTCATTTAATTTTGTTAACAATACTGGCTCTGATTGGAATGATTTGTATGCTCTTTGAAAGCTTCGAGTTCGCTTTGCAGGTCCATGCGCGTCATCCCCCAATTAGCAGGAAACTGAAGAAAAATTTTGGTATTGAAACAAAGAATCCGAGGAGGCGAACCTACCACTTTTTAGCACCCCTGTATCACTGCTAAAGCTGTAGCATTTTTTTCTTACACCCAGCACATTTCTCGAGCCGTTCCTTACACATTCTGGCTAATTTAGGGCGACGTAATATAGCTGTCAAAATTGATTTTTTCCACTTTGGTTTTCCAAATGTAATAATGGGAAACTCTTGCAAGTCTTCTGATGTGAGAAGCTAAATGAAAATTCTGGTAGAGCTTCTAAATGGATATATACATTTTGCGAACTTATTTTATTCTTGCATTGTTCTTGTATGGAGTCTGCTCTCTTTGAATATCAAGTTCAACGTCTCGCAATTCCATAGCAAAGAACAGCAAAAAATCTCTAATACTTCTTGCAAAATTTCTTGCAAAAAAAATAGAACTTATTGCACAGCCTAATTTGAAATTACTGGAAATCCTTGCATTCATCCCCTAACTATTAGTGAATTTCTGTCGCGTATGTTCAACTCTCATTTGAATCAATTTTACTACCGCTTCATCATTTGCTTGCACCTTGATGCAGTTTTTTCAGAAAGGACAGATTAGTACATTGAATTGCATACGCGCTGTGTCAATGATATGGATCATAACTGGTCACACATTTTCAATTTCGATGGCTGCCTTTGGTAAGATTCCAAGCTACTATCTTAGAGGTAGCGTCCAGGCAAGTCTGGACACATGGGGATCTCACGTGAATAGTAATTTTGGGGCCCTAACTAAGCCACTGCCCAACCGGCAGCTCAGATGGTGCTCTAACGGCTGAGATATTCCCCTTGAAAGTGGACCCCACGATCGTATCTCGCATGGATTCATGGCGCAAAATGTGTGTCCTCGCGCGATACTGCCATGAATCCATGCAAATACGATCGCGAGGTCCAGTTTCGAGGGGGATACCTCAGCCGTTAGAGCACTACCTGCCGCTTGAGCAGTGCCTTAGTTAGGGCCCCAAAAGTACTTTCCACGTAAAATCCCCATAGGTCCAGATCTGCCTGGACGCTGCCTTTAACCAAAAAAAACTTTGTCGACTATCTTAGAATTCTTTAGAATACCATACCTGTACTTCCTCACCCCACTAAAGCTGGTCAGATACGAAATTAAGCCTACGCGTGTTTTTTTCATCAATGCGAGTTTTTTGTTCCTACATTTTTCCATCTTAATAAGAGTTTTTTGTTCCTACATTTTTCCGTAATATAACTGATTTTGTTGTTGATGAGCGTTGCTTTACTCTGCTGTGCTCTTTCCTTTGACTCTAGTTATTGGAAATTCTGAGGAAGCGATGAGACTTCTTTGTCGCAAGTTTTTTCTTGACAACTAGCGTGTGTTGAAGGCTTGCTTTAGTAATTGTTTTGCCGCAAAATCCCCATCTACATCATTTCTACGGCCCACCTAAATTCATAGTTACAGATACATGTAAGCACACCTGTATAAAACATCGCTCGACAGAAATTATCAATTAGAATTTAAAACAAAGTTAAAAGGCAAAAAATAGCATGTAGCGTTGAAAAACAAGAAGAAAATATCATAAGCTTAAAGTGCGCGTTGGAAGAGGTAAGTTCAAGTTCGAGTTGCCCATAGGTGTCCAGTGGGGTGTGGACAACTATAATTGTTTCTTTTTGAAGTAATTCTCAAAAGAATAGTCTCTTTAGGGCAAAACAGAGAGGTACAGGAAAGGGTTGTATCAGTGCTGCTCTACAACTTTACACATCACATTTTGATGGTGCCTGTAAAAATTCGTACCTCAAAGCATCCTCATTGGAAATGATTGGTAAACAATCACAAATCTTTTCCACGTGTTCATACAGAACAATTTTAGAATTTCTGCGTGAAATATATATTAAACGCTTAGAACCGCGCACAGCACAGACACCAAGAGAAGGCTCTGCAAAACTTACAAAGTACATTCAAAAATAGACAATGAATGACATCTAGTGAAACTCTTTTGAGTTTTTTCCACTTTCCGGGGGTTTCCGGAAACCAGCTCAAATCAAAATTTCATTCAAATTAGATACGAGATACAGATCTGAAAGATAGAAAATACTGCAGACCTTGACATACCTCAAAGTGAATTCCCATCTTCACATCCTTAGCTGATTGACAATCAAAGCTAGAATTCTTCCCGCTAATTTGAAATTGCATCGGTTCAGTCATCTGTAATGTGAAGCGTGTAGTCACAGTGCTAATATAAAAAGTCAATATTACTTGACAACATGCGATCAA